GCCACCTTCCCAGCCCCTGTGAGACTCTTATCTCCAGTTAACCATCAGAAAACCAGAAGTGGCATTGTGGCTCCAATGGTAGAGCGCTTGCCTTGATCTGAAGAGTTTAGGGACAGTGCCCAAGCCTAGAGTTCAAGCCCCACAACCAACCAAAAACACCTTCATTTCCTCTGTTGGAATGATGAGTTCTACAGGATGAGTAAAATAGGAAATGATAGTAGGATAGGATGATAAAGGTAGAAATTGCATTTCATAGTAGTAATTATATTTACCTCTTGTGTCTTACTCAGGCTACTTAGTGAGGTGTGATTACTTTTCCTGGACCAAAATTATGAAGTTACTTAACAAACTTAAACATAAAACAGATGTTTAGAGAGCTAGGAAGGTGGCTCAGTGGTAGAGTGCTTGCCTTGTATGCATGAGGCCCTGGATTCGATTCCTCAGCACCACATCAACAGAAAAAGTTGGAAGTGGTGCTGTGGCTCAAGTGGTAGAGTGCTAGCCTTGAGCTGAAGAGTTCAGGGATAGTACCCAGACTCAGAGTTCAGGCCCCACAACTGACAAAGCCAAAAACAAAAAAAGCAAATGTTTGTGCATTTGTGTGTTTATGTGAATTCCTTTTGTTGTCTAGGTTCCCTGGTTTCAAGGAAGTCCGGCTGGTACCTGGGAGGCATGACATTGCTTTTGTTGAATTTGAAAATGATGGGCAGGCCGGAGCTGCCAGGGATGCTTTGCAAGGCTTCAAGATCACACCCTCCCATGCCATGAAGATCACCTATGCCAAGAAATAACATTTGGGATAGTCTTCCTTAAAGGACTTGGCACTATTTGTAGTGTTTGTTCTGATAACATTTGGTCAGGTCATTTAAAGTTGAAGTTGAAAGGACTGAAAGTGAAATTGTTGTGACATTTAAAAAAAATCATCCAGTTTTTCTTTAGCTTCAGTTAACTGTGAAATATTAAGGCCTTAATTTTGTACAATAAACTTATTTGTATCCTACATATTTAGTGCTTTGTTTATTGGCCCATTGCCCTATCAGGTACTTACTCCAGAACACATCTTAAGATACATAAAATTAGAATAGTTTTTTTCTATTTGGGAGCAACTAATGATACAGCACCATTGATCCATTTTAACAAAAGCTCAAGAGAATTAGATCATACCAACTAGTAAACGTCTATTAGAGAAAAGTGAGGCAAGCAGGGTGTAATTTGATATTTGTATTCTCCAAAGCAATGAGCATAATATTTTGCTGATTTTTTTTTGGGGGGGGTCTGGTTGTGGGGCCTGAACTCTGGGCCTGGGCGCTGTCCCTCAGCTCTTCAGCTCAAGGCTAGCGCTCTGCCACTTGAGCCACAGCGCCACTTCCGGCTTTTTGCTTATGTGGTGCTGAGGAATCAAACCCAGGGCCTCAGGCATGCAAGGCAAGCGCTGTACCAGAGCCACCTTCCCAGCTATTTTGCTGATTTTAAGGATTTCATAAAACTTGGCATTAGTATTGAATGCTGGTTACTTGGGGTTTGTTGTGCTTATAAAGAGGATATAATGATTACATTAGCTCAGATAGTATTTTTTCAAAGGCTATACAAGAGGCTCATATCTTCATTTTGTTTTTTGAGGTTTTTTTTTGGGTCCAGTCGTGGGGCCTGAACTCTGGGCCTGGGCACTGTCCCTCAGCTCTTCAGCTCAAGGCTAGCACTCTACCATTTGAGCCACAACACCACTTCTGGCTTTTTTCTTTTTGCTTATGTGGTGCTGGGGAATCGAACCCAGGGCCTCATGCATACAAGGCAAGCGCTCTACCACTGAGCCACCTTCCCAGCCCCTCATATCTTCATTTTAAGACTAAGAATTCTATTTTCTATTCAAATGTTCTAAAGGCATTTTGTTTCTGGAAAATATCTCATAATGACTGAAACCCTATCTAAAAATTTTTACTGTGTTTGATTTGCCATGGAGCAATACTTCTCAAACCTCAATGTGCCCATGAGTCATTTAACTGTTTTGCCAAGATGTAAATGCACTAAGTAGACAATCCAGGTATGCTCGATGGTTACTTGTGCTTTACGACATGGATCATGGCTGGAGATACAAGTGTTGGGTTGGAGGATGAGTGTATGGAAAGGCTGTTAAATTCACCTGGTGGCCCCTTGGCCAGAAATTGAGCCAGGCAATGAGCTCATCCTGAAGCAGAAATACCCTTAGCGTTTTCAAAACACTAAAGGGAATAACTGGCATGGTGGAAAGGGCAAGTGAGGGAGAGATGGAGGATGAGATAAAAGATACAGGACTCAGTCAAGGGGTCCAATCCTATGGAACCTTGGGGGTCACAGCAAGAAAGCTCTTTAATTGCTGTTCTTACCAGTCTATCTCTAGACCCTAAAGAAGCCATGGCTTCTGTTTTAGAAACTAGACCAAGAATCTCATGTAGAAACCAGCATCATAGAAAGTATTCTTAGTGGATTAAAGGTTCAAAGAACACATCCAGAAGTCTAGCTGACAGAGGTAAGCAAGATCTGGTCTCAGAACCTGTAGGAACCAGAGTACCTTGAGCATAGCTGTTAGGTGCAACTACCTACTGCATTCTTGCAAGTTTGAATTCCTATTTGAAAGCAAAATTTACTAAGTATTCCCCAATCTCAGTCCTGCCTCTGCCTGGCACAGATGTCAGACTAACCAGAGCCTTTTCAGGATGTTTCTAGAAAGCTTGGCATCTATTTCATCTCTAAAAGGCCAAATTGACATTATTCTCACCTTATTGGATAAGTCATGCCTTTATTGGAAGGGGTGACATATACAATGTAGCAATATGAGTGTTGAGTCACCATTTCCTCAAAGTGTTTTTAAAACAGTAATTGTCTTAGCTCTCCTTGTTGAGGGCTGGCTTGGGACAGTAACAGTCTGTGAAACAGCTGCCCAATTTAGATTAAGATTTAATCAGTGCTTTTGTTTTCTCGGAGATACTTTCAGGCCCCCAGATGAAAGGAAGGGAAAATACACCAACATTCTGCTTTCCAAAATGACTTCTAATTCCTTTTTTTCCTTGGCATGAAGTAAATAGAGGATTTAAAGTCCCAATTCTAATTGACGTAGTGAATGGAAAAGATTATGGAGTGGTTAGAAAGGGGTACTTTTCCCATTGTAGGTCCCCGTTTCCTCCTCTGTAATAAAAGATTGAATAAAACAAGCTTCCAAATCAGTGCCACTATATAAAAGACCTTATATGTCTGCACACATCCCAAATAATACAATCTTTGCTGAAATTATACTCAAGTATATTCCGCTTTACCAATTTTTTGGAAAGCTACTTCCCCCAAAATAGTTTAGTAAGTTGAATTCTTGTTCCTCATTTTGTGCAGTGACTATTTAGGAATGGAATACAAGGTACTCTCTGAAACCATGTGGTCGAGTTGAAGAAGGCTTCCTGACAGACCTGTTCCAGTGGTGGGGGAATCCCCCTCTCAGAAGCCAGATCCCAATACCCCATAAAGAACAGGAACATCTTGTCTATCCTAATAGAAAATAAAATCCTTGGGGCTAGGGCCTTGGTGAATTCACTGTTGTTTCTAGTGCCCAGAATAAAACCTACTAGATGCCTGGTACATATTTATTGAGTGGATGGAGCTATGTATTTGTTCTTCAACTTTGGTGACGCATAGTAGGGCCCTTCTTTCTATGGGAAAGATAGTCAGAAGCAGGAAAGTGCAAGTTAAATAAATCTTTAACCAGTGAGCATCTTAGAGGAAGTTGCTATCATTTTGATCTTGAATGCCTTTCAAAGGCCTATGTGTTTTGGGCTGGGTCCCCAAGCAGTGCTAACAGCATGAATCATTTGAGAAGTGGGGGTCCATGGAGAGTTCCATAGGTTATTGGGGTTTGCCCCTGAAGGGAAGTGTGGGATTGCTGTTGATTTCTCCTCTTGCTTCCTGGCCGTGGTTTTACCACCACAGGCTTTGGCTACCCTGTACTGCCTCACAATAGGTCCAAAGCAATGGCATCAATGATCATGGGCTGAAACTTCTAAAAGTGTGAGAGCCAGAATAACTTTTTTTCTTTATAAGTTGATGATCTCAGTTATTTGTCATAGTGATACAAAGCTGACTTACACATTTTCTCAATTCAACTCCTTCTTCCTATTGGTAAGGTCTGGATGTGCCATTAACTGGTGTATTATAGTCTACCAGTGGTCTTGGACAAACATGAGCTCTAAAAATACTGTCACAAAGGATTTATAAACATGATTCTTTACTTACCTAATATGTAAATCCAGATTTTGGAGAGCAGTACTGGGGTTTGAACTTAGGGCTTACCACTTGGTGGACAGTTGCTCTATTACTTAAGCCAAGCCCGAAGCCCTTTTTGCTTTAAGTATTTCTCAGGAAAAGTTTTGTGTATTTTCCTGAGCCTGGCTGAACTGTGAGCCTCGTAGTTACACGTCCTGTGTAATCAAGACGACAGACATGTACCCCACACCAACTTTTTTGTTAAGATGGAGTCTTACTTTTTCTTGAGAATGGCTTGAGACTATGATCCTTCCAATCTCTGCCTCATGAATAACATGGATTTCAAGCATGAGTCACCTTACCTCGCCTGTAAGTCTAGAATTTTACTAATTGGATTTGCTCAAATCAACGTTAATTGTGTAGCTTCAGCAGATTTCAATGGCACATCCTTGCTCAGAAACAATATGAGGATTGAACTGAAAAAAAAGAATGGTTTGAAATTCTCTGTCTACTCCACAATATCCTGCTTATATATACTGTAAGCCACAGCTAACAATGGTGTATCTTGTGTATGAAAAGAAGACATAGAGTCTCTCTTTGGAAAATCAGATGCTAAATAAGCTTCTGGAGTTTAAGACCCCATTATGAAAGCCAAAGGGGTGGTGATTCCTTCCTATTGGCCAGGGATATTTATCCAGAGGTCCGGGTTTCACATAAAAGACAGGAACCTCTGAAGTCAGCCCCCAGTTTCAAAGTGCTACTCAACCCAAAAGAAAGATGGCAAGGATGTTGACGCTTTTGCTCTTGGGTCTTGTGGCTCTTTCTGCTGGGACTGGAGTATTTATGGACAGACTTGCATCCAAAAAGCTGTGTGCAGATGAGGAGTGTGTCTGTAAGAATCTTTTTATGCTTTTCAGTGTCTCTCTATTACATAATTGAAAATATATCCACTCTTAGCATAATGCCAAATTATACTGAGAGGCCAATCTGCTTGGATGTACATGTTCTTGGTGTTCAGTGTTTTGTCTTCTGTGTGGTGGGTGTCTGACAATGGAGAATTCACTTGGCTAAGACTTTGTTACAGATTTAATATTTTGGCTTGCTTACTCTTCTCAAGTTGAATCCAAGCTGCATACTGGGAGCTATTAGTCACTCTGATTTCCTCATTTTTGTAAATGTGTTGCTTTTTTATTATGTTGTCACTTTAATTTTTTTCTTTTCTTCTTCCAGATACTATTTCTCTGGCTCAAGCTCAAGAAGATTACAATGCTCCAGATTGTAGATTCATTAATGTTAAAAAAGGGCAACAGATCTACATTTATTCAAAGCTGGTAAAAGAAAACGAAGCTGGAGAATTTTGGGCTGGCAGTGTAAGATAAGATTATTTTAAAAATGATACCTAATCATGACCCATGTTGCTCTTAATTTTTTCAACATTACCTGTCTTCAACCTGTCTTCATGCCTAAAACTAGCTAATAAGCCCAACAGAATGTGAGGGCAAATGCGAAAATTCAGGCTGCTTTTGCTCCTATTGCATTTTAAAGAAAATTAGTTAATCTCATAACAAAACCAAAGCTAGGTTCATATGATGTTCCAACAAGAAGAATATCATACACATTGGAGTTTGTATGTCCCAAAGTGTTTGAATCTCATTCAAAAAACATCTGAGAGGATTTGCCAAGTGAAAGGCATGTGTGTTGGCAGTCAATGTTTCCGTGTTCCTTTGGGAAACATTACACCCTCTTTAATTCAAAGGATATGCTGTTTTTTCTTTCTTTCTTTCTTGAGTTAAAACATACCTAGCAGTCCCTGGAGTGGGATGAGACAGGGATGATTTATTGCATTTGTCTGCCATTCCCCCAAAATAGGTTCTAAAGTAATGAAGAATTAAATTGAAATGCATTCAAGTATCTGTTCATTTGAGCTGGCAAAAACTGAGAAACATGCATCCTGTAAAATAAGTGTCTATTTTTTTTTATTACGTGACTTTATTTTTCTATGGATTCAAAAGAGATTTCAGGAAAGACATAAGACTGCAGAAAACTAAGTAATACTAAAGTAGGGAGATAAGTCAAACTGGGCCACACACACACACACACACATACACCTCTTGTGGGTTAACTGCTATAAGTGAATTGCATGTTTGGTTGAGTCCACTGGACTACAGACACAAAAGGAAGATCTGGGTATTGGGTGTTTCTCATTATTAGCAAAGAGGTTTTTCAGAAGACCTTCATGTCAGTGTGGCTCTGACTGTTATTTCTTTGGGCATTTAGGTTTATGGTGACCACCAGGATGAGATGGGAATTGTGGGCTATTTTCCTAGCAGCTTGGTCAAGGAGCAACGTGTGTACCAGGAGGCCACCAAGGAAGTTCCCACCACGGTAAGCATTACAGGGGTGACCACAGAGGACACACATAGTAGAGTAAACTTACAGGATGTAAGTTCCCAATTTGTACCAATGATCAATATTGAAAGATGGGTGTCATTTCTCCATATGCTTGACTTTGTTCCACTTGAATCTATTATTGTTTTAGTGGTTCAATTTTTTGTATTCTCTAGTTTTATTTGACCAATAGAAATTGTATATGTTGAGGGTGTACTTGATATATAAATGTGTGTTATAAATGTCACAATATTTATGATATGTATTATGTGCATATGGGTATATAACATATGTGTGTATTTGTAATTGTATGTGTATTATTTATTATGTATGTGTAATTTTAGATTGTGGAATGATCATCACATTAACCTGGTTAACATCTATCACCTAATGTAATTACCTTTGTGTGTGTGTGTGTGTCTGTGTGTGTGTGTAACACTTAAGATCTACACTAAGAAAATTTCCCATTTATAATACAATACTCTTTTGACTTAGGTGTAATTTATGCTGGAAGGGGTCCTAAGGTCGTAAAGAGAGAAGTCAAAATAATATTAACTGACTCTCTCCTACTGATAGCTTACACTTATTTAGGAAAAGCAAATTGTAGAGAAAAATTAGCACCTATTTTTGATAAGATCAAACATTCTAGAAAAATCTTTGAATGTGCTTGGTTTTGCTTTTGTGGCAGATAGACTCTACTTATGCACAAAATAAGATTTTACTCTTCCCTGTGCCCTAGGGCCCTGTAAATTCATAGAAAAATAAAAGATCCTTCTGAAGTGCTTTGCAAAGTGGTTGTTTTAAAGCAATTCTCCCACAGCTAATTACTGTGCTTCAAACATTGCCCAACCTACACAGATGCAACTCACTTGTCATTTCTTGTTAGCACTAAGCTTGATCTGTCAAATAACCGTAAATTAAAAGTTTATTTGAGGCCTTCACTTTAGGTTGTTTTTGACTCAACCTGATAATTATTTTACAAACTTTGCGATTCAACCTTTATTTCTTTTATAAAATACAAATTTTACTTTGACTAAACCTGATCTTAAATAAAGTACCTTTATCTGTTTTCTGGCCCCAGTCTTCTCATTTCAATCTTTCATTGCCTTTGCTTTTCCAGGATATTGACTTTTTCTGTGAGTAAGAAATCTGTGAAAACTGAGGTAAGATGGAACATCAAAAAAGAAGAATAAATGCATATCTCTAATTTTTTACCTTTGTTACCTGAGACTGGGGCTTGGGGCTAGAAGTGGCAGGTAAAAGATTTTCAACTCAGTCTTGTTTTCTGCTGGCCTGATCTTTCCAGAAGCTGGCACAGGGTGAGGATTGACTTAAATTCATGCATTGATACCAAAGAAATATTTTCAGCACAAAGAATTTTTATATACATGAGGATGTGTATTTGTAGTCATTTCTAACTTGTAATTCTCCCCAGCTCTTTGATGCCTTGTATATAAACTTGATAAATGACAGGCCTGACTTTTAGACTTATAGCTATTATGACTATATCTTTAAATGTCTTTTAAAAAAGTTGCATAAGTTATTTAGTTGAATAACTTTCACTTTTAAATGTTCAATATGTTTTTCCTTCAATTCAAATAAGTCTGCATATGAATTGTGGGGAGGACAGTTTCTGGAAATATTTTTGATCACAGTTTTGTAATGTGTATTCCAGGATTGGAACTTAAACTTGGGACCAGGGTGCTGTCTCTTAGCTTCTTTTGCTCAAGGCTGTAACTCTACCACTTCAGCCACAGCTCCAGTTCCCTAGGAATATTTTTAATGGAATGGAATATTTTCCTTTTAACCTATACCCTTACTGGGTCTTTACTCAAGCTTCAAGTCCTCAAAAGAAAGGCCTTCCCCCAAAAGATATGTGTGTGTGTGTGTGTGTGTGTGTGTGTGTGTGTGTTTACATGCTTCTATCTCAATTTTTAATTTCTTTTTTCTGTGCAAATTCTTCTAGTCAAGAGTGATGTAGCCAGAAATCTGATGAGAAGATGCAGGTTTTATGGTCCTGATGAGCCCAGGAGTTTTCCTATCTTTAATTGTAAATCTGCATTGACTGTGTGTTATACTAATGTGATTCTTTTGATGTATGCATTAATTTTTGTGTATATATAATTAAAATGCCTTTATTAAGCTAAAAAACAAGTTTAAAATTTTCTTGCACATGAAATATATATAGATTTTGGGATGAGTAGAAATGCTGTTTGTTTTTTAGTTTTCTGTGAGCTGGTTATCCTTTAAATATAGAAAGGAAATCAAAAGAGAACATTTAGGGCAAATAAGAGACTGATTTAAACATTTAGGGCAAAACAGTTGTGTCTATGATGACTGGGTGGATATTGTTCTACCTTTTCTTTTTAATGCTGGTACTTGTGTCTGGCTTGTTTTACCTTTTTGTTTTGTTTTTAAATGGAGGTCAGTCAAGTGAACTATATTCCAAACAAAACAAAATGAAAGAACTCCACAGTTTGCTTTTTTTCTAGCTTGCTTTATTTCATGAATGGTCCTAGATAATACCTGGGTATCACAAGCACCTTCTGAGGTAAGAGGTGTCTATTCTGTCTCCATTTCATCCTGCCTCTCAGTTGTTGGTCTCCTCATTCTAGATACCCATCAGCCCTGGAGACATCCAGCAATCACCCTGGGCCAACTGTCTGGCCTCAGGCAGCCTGCTAACCTAAGTCAAGGTGCTCAGGGCCTCTGCAGCTGAATTCCTGGCCTCCTAGGACTGAACCCATCCAGAAGTAGAGGAGTCTGGTGTAAATCTCTTGGGGACCAATCTGTATTAAAAGAGAGAGAGATCATCTTCCCCTCCCCAAATCAGATAAACTTATATACAAGACAAAAGCTATAGAAATAAAAAACTGGGACAAAGGGGAATAAGCCAAAGAAAAAGAAAAAGAACCACAAACAGTGTGAACTAATTCAGCAGTGATACCCACCAGACACTATGTTGGAAATGAACTATACAGCTTGGTGGGGAGGGGAGATTGGGAGGGGAAAAACTGGGAGAAAATGAGGGAGGAGGTGACACTATTCGAAAAGAAATGAACTTATTGCCTGACTTATGTAACTGTAGCCCCTCTATTACCTTCACAATAAAATATTTTAGAAAACCACAGGCAGGACAGAACATGCTATTGGGCGAGCCTCAGTGCCCAGAGTGCATCTCTGGGAGCTGGTTGGTTTCCAGCCAGGGCCCACTAGGAACTTGTGAATCAGAATCTCTATCTCAACCCATCCTCCACCAGATGCATCCTAGCTCTCACTCCTCATCTTCTAAACAAATAAACAAAGCACTAGAGAACCTGAGAGGGGAGGCAGCCTTCAGGGTTGAACCTTGAAGACCCAAGGTTCAGCAGAATTTCAACATTCCTGATGCGACCTTCTGCACTATGTTGCTGCCACCATCCTGCCAGTAGACATCCTTAAGGAGATTCATAACTCTATATATGTAAGGGCAAGACCACTAAAATGCCTTCTGTTGCCTTTCTTTCACACCCCTCCTTAGGGTTCTCTCCTTCTATCTATGATTCAAGAACGCTCTGTTTGCAACCAACGTCATCCACAGCGCCTCCTCCCCAGCACTACCTTATACCAATTATGAGGACATCTGCCAGGTCTGAATTGGCAAATAGATTTCACTCCTGTCCCTACCCCCTTCCCCACAGGCACTATAGATATCTTCTAACCATGACTGACACCTTTATTAGATGGATAGAAGCATTTCTATCACCCCTAAAGGGGTATCTGAAGTTACCAAGGTCCTATCATAATCTATTAGCAGCAGTTTGGTTTATCTGTTTATCTGCAGAGTAACAATGGAGCCAGCTTTCTGCAAAACTGTAGGAGGTAAACCAGAACAGAGAAATCAGAATCCCCATTGGGTATGAAGATTAGAAATGCATCCTTGAAATTCCTGATGTGAATTTATAAAACCCTTTCTACACCGGGCCTAGTAAGGATTTTCTAGAGTTGGCTGTGTGAAATATCAAAGGGAAATGGAGTCACTGAAGGAATTGTCAGGATTGGCGATTTAAAACTCAACTCTTTCCAGAGACATCGGTCAATTGAAGTTTCCCTCATCCTACCACCCATTTCCAAAATGGCTCTGTTCACATACTTACTTGTGTGAACAATGGTTGACTCACCAGTTGATTTAGTTATTGTTCCCAATGAACAATGAGACTAAGTATAGTAGCAATTTGGAGCCAGTAAAGTTAAAACCTCTGCCTATTTCTTACGTGTAGAAGAAATATCATTGTAAGAGCATCACTGGTGAGAATAACTCACTTCCCATCTTAGATAAATGTGGCTCATTACTGCTTCTCATGTTTATTGGCCAAGGAGATGTGTGCCTTTGTGGATCAAACTCAACACAGGAAAATAGTGAGCACTTTCCTGTCATATTTAAACAAATCTCTGCAGGGGTGAGCCTTTCAGCTCTGAGTGGAGAAAAGAAATCAGAGCAAGCCCTAGGATGAAACTCATTTCTTCAACAATCACCCTCTTCTATCTAAAAGTGGTGAAAAACAATCAGAGAAAGAGAAATGGTTCCAGCAAATCCCATTCCTTGTTCTATCCTTGAACTACAATGCAGGCTTTCAAACATCTCAGCTGCATTCCCTACAAGTACTTTTGCATATCAGCAATTTAATGGGGAAAATGATGTATTGATCCATAGGCTTTCTATAATCTGCCCTCTATATAATCTAGCCCATTATTAACTAAGACAGGGAAAGCTCCCTGACTCCTGATTTAAATTTTTTTTCTAAATGGAAATTACTTTTCTGTCACATGTGAGCAATTATTTTAATCATTTTTCTCAAGAACACACGATGCTAAAGTCAAGGCATTGAGGGGTAAAAGGTGAGGTGGCGTTTCTAACCATCTTAACACCTTGCCTGCCTCCCTTCTCTTCTTCCTTTCCCTCCCTCCCTTTTTCCTATTTTCTGCATATGAATTTATTCTAACCAAATGAATCAGTGGAGGTGGAAATGTTAATTTCAGTTATGCTACTAGGCTGGGGAGGGGGAAGATGCCAATATCAGCCTTTAGATTTCTAACAAACAGAGGTAGAGTACTGTCACAGCCAATAAGTGTTCCCCCAGCAACCACCCTCCCCCCTAACCCCCTACTCCCGACCAACCTGGACCTGTGATCAGCAAAGTCTATTGGTTTGTTCTCTTCCAGTTCCTTCTCCTTCCCTCTCCCTTCATAAGCTGAAAATATTTAAGGGATTTATTTATTTTTCTTGGCTTCTAGATCTTTCCTTGGACTTTAAATTACACTAATAGTGCTGTCATAAACCAGACAAACCTTTAGACTTGCCTTTTTGGTCCCTGGGAAAGAGCTTCTGCTTCTACTTGATGGATAGTGGAAGAGCTGGGTTCAGCTGAGCCTGCTGGTGCCTAGGAATAGATGTGTATGCTGGCCTGGCCTGTAGAAAAAGGCCACAGGACAGGGGCCATTTTTGATGGAATGTGTTCCCAGGTCCCAGGCAGCTAGGCAGATGGACAGGACTCAACGTTTGTGAGCACTAATGTAAAATGTCTTAGATCAAGTCCCCTAGAAGCAGATCTTGAAATGGGGACTTACATGACATGACTTATAACTCCCAGGGTGAATAGATAAGAGAGAGAAAGAGGGGCAGGAGAGCAGGAATAAGAAGGAGCCAGAGCCTCAAGCCAAGTCTTCTGGTGGCTGGCCTTAGCCAGACCTCAACTTCTTCCAATTTAAAGAAGCTGAGCTTTTCTCGGTGTTGTTAGTCATTGGTAAGGTCTGAATGCATTTCCCAGATTGCATGTGTTCAAACTTAATCCTCACAGCCTTATGCTAACGCTATTTGAAAAGTGGGACCCTGGGAGGCGGACATGAGATGGTCTCAGGAGTGGCTTTGCTGTGAATGTGAGTGTGCTGACATGCTTTTTGTTTGTTTGTTTGTTTCACTGTATGAAGCTTTTTGTCATGTGTCCACAGCAAGGAAGGCCCTCAGCAAATGCCAGCACCTGGCTCTTAGACTTCCTAGCCTCTAGAACTATGAGAGAAGTCGTCTGTATTCTTTATAAATTACCCAGTATTGGGCATTTTGTTAAAGTCACAGAAACTGGACAGAGCTAAATCATTGACTAAGGGAAGCCAGGGCCCTGTCATTGTAAAGTTAGCGGC